TTTTGTGTTAGCAGAATTTAATTCTAACTTTAAAACTTATCCAACATTAATAAAACCTACCTCAAGTTGCCTTTTTGGACATGCATGCATAGATTTGTACAAATTGTACTTGAGCGGAGATTATTACAGCCTCATATAAAATCAATGATGATCATGATATCGGAACTGGATCAGTATCGGCCGATATTCAGATTTAGGGATCGGGATCGGATCGGAAGTAAAAAAAGTGGATCGGTGCATCCCTGGTGGTGATTCTGATAAACCTTTTTTTTTAAGGCCACCGGCTCGTTTTGTGTGGAGGATGTGTGAAGGAGCGGCTGTGAGGTCATCCGAGCTGACAGACTGGCTAAAATCAGACACTTTAATCATTGAATGATGTTTTATTTCAAAACTCGTGTCATCTTTACACACATCCTCCACAAACCGTCATTTTGAATCTTCTCCCCCTGAGCTCTGTGGTTTGTTGTCCCAGGGCGCCACCTGTTGGCGATCTCAGGGAAACGCTGAACCTCCGGTTGCCGGGATGAGAAGGGCTGATGTCTGACGGGCGGGGCTGGTGGCGTAGCGGAGCGAGGAGACACTGCTGCAGCCGTGGAACGCGTTGTCGTTGTCTTGAAATTGGTCCCGAACAGCGCGTCCGTCGCAGATGGGGCCCTCCAATAAAAAACCTTCTGCAGCTCCTCCGAGAGGGAGGTGGAGTGACGAGCCAGGTGGACCTCTGGAAAACCTCGTCCTGCGGGCTGCGATGCGAGACCGGCAGACAACAGAAGAGGCACACAGGTTGAGGATGACGTCAGCTGCCTTGCAGAGGGATCTCTACATCTCCTCCAGCCTCTTGAACGTTGTACGCCAGCAGCGTAACGTATTGTTTGCTGCGGCCGCCTGGAACCCACACTGGTGAGCTCGGTTGGAGAGCAACGTCACCGTCTGGTCATGCTTACCCGGAGGCGCAGGACGTTGGTCCAACCTGGACATCTTGCTCCGAAAGCCTCTGCCAAGCTCGGCTCCAGGGGGTCACCGAGGGAATTGTCGCTCGGTGAAACCCCTCCACTCTGGTGATGGGCGCAAATGTGGGAACCAGCGCCCTCAGTCTACCAGAACCGGCTGCGGCCTCATTCCAGTAGGACGTCACTGCTAGGAAAACGAGGCCAGATGGGACCAGGATGGCGAGCCGGGGTGGAGCCCAGAAACCTTCCCGCTAGATCATCCGATCTGGACGGGGGAAGGAGAGGGATGGAAAAGGTCCCTTCATGTCAGCCGCCTCCTGGATTATGCCGGGCAGCTTCAGATGAGGGTACCGAGACTCAGAGACTGAGACCTCACAGTCCAAGAAAGCCAACCTGCCATTTTTTACATCTTCTCGTGTGAACTTGTTGTATTTATCTACAGAGTTGATCAACTTCTTAATTCTTCCATTTGACAACATTTTAGTCACGGAAGACACATGTTTCAGTTAAACTGTTAAACCACCAACTACTTGACAGCAGCACGGCTTTGTGGTTCATGCATCCAGATGCTGAACTGGTCTGCCAGCAGTTCAGACCTTTTGTCAATTCAAAACTGTTTGCACATCACAAACCAGAACTGTTACCAGTTAAAATCCTCCATCAAACCAGAATGGGACAACATTCCCTCCAGAAACTCCAGAACTTCTTGTCTTAGTTCCTCGACGTTTCCATGAGCTGTGAAAGGGCTTCGTTCTTTTAATCCTGAGGCTGGCAGCATGATGGCTCAGTGGTTAGCACTGTTGCCTCACAGCAAAAAGGTCCTGGGTTCAATCCCCGGTTGGATCTGGGGTCTTTCTGGGTGGAGTTTGCATGTTCTCTCTGTGCTGCGTGGGTTTTTTCCGGGTACTCCGGTTTCCTC